CGTTGTAAACGTTAAGTCAAACGCTCTATCCCGTTCTTCTATTGAGATTGTGTGTCCCAGTTCCCGTTCCCATGCTTTAATTTAATAGGGATATGCATGGAATGGATAAGAGCGAGAGCGAGGTTGCGGCTTGTTCAATAGATACTCATATTTTTGTTTCACTGTGATGTCTCCAATCCATAAGGCATCTTATAACTGCTGCCATATGCTATACTTCTAACTGTGGAAGCCCCGCTCCTCCCTTATGTCTACCCATTATCATAATTTCATACCGCAATCGAAGGAATGGTTGGGGCCATAAGTATTTAATAATTATCGACTTCAATTTAAGAAAATATGTCCTAGGCGGTTTAATCCCACTGTATCAACGATGGGGTCTTAATAGTACGGTATTATCTCGCCCCTCCCGGCCTGGGACAAAGCCAACTTGGATCTAGCTGTATTAAGCATATATATTAAGCTAGTAGTTTAGCATATATTTTAAGATCTACATTTATTAAAAGGAAACTATGGAGTGCTTTTCACTCACCTGATAGTTCTAGCCGACCTGTGACAATGAGACTGTCACAGGTCGGCTCAGTAGATCGGGAGGTGAGCGAACACATACCTGTGTTCGCTCACCTCTCGATCCTGTCACGGCTCTCTGCCGTGACAGGGGAGGGGCTGGATTCCCCCCTCCCCGCTCCGCTAGCGCTGACTGGCGGATCGGACGGGGCGGGTACAGTTGGCTCTGCCTCTAGATAGGCAGAGCCAGCTGTCACTCACACAGCTGGGCGGATCCAGACATAATTGTCGGGATCCGCTTTAGCGTCTCAGTATACCGCGAGCAGTATACTGTGGCGTCTCAATATACTGCGAGCTTTAGCTCGCGGTATACTGAGCTTAGGGTGACGGGAGGACGCTCGTTTGTGTCCTCCCGTTACCTTAAGGAGAACTATGGTGAAAAGCCTTAATCCCATAGTTCTCCTTTAAAGAGATTGGTCTATAACTAGAGCATTGTACTGGATCTTTTTGTTCTTTAAGTAGAAGATATATATGAGCCTCTTGTGTTTGTTGCGTAAAAATACACCTTTTAGATTGTAAGCCCTGAGGGGCAGGGCCCTCCTTGCCATCTTGTCTTGAATTGTTATGCGATTGTAATGTCTTCCTTATATTGTATGTGCAAACTGTTGGCGCTATATAAATCCTGTATAATAACAATAATAATCTGTTATGGAGTTATATAATGTGCTCAATATCGGGACCATTTCCTCTCTAAATTCTTTAAAAAAAGAACTTGAGCACCCATCCGGCCAGGGCTTTTTCCATGAGGGAGTGATTATATTATATCCATTATTTCTTTTGTTGTAAATGAGACACTAATTGATTCAGCAATCATTACTGGCAACACAGTCTTTGTTATATATTCCCAAAGCTGTTTATTTCCCTTTTGGTTCCCTCTTGCGATTAACTTATTTTTTATGTTCTACAATTCAGTAAAGTATTGATGAAAATAATTCTCTCTTATTGATTTTGCAAGTATCTTACTACATTTATTCCCATATAGAGCTGCAGCTAACGATTATTTTCAAAATCGATTAGTTAGCCGATTATTAAGTTCGATTAATCGGTTAATCGGATAAACAATAACATACATTTTAAAAAAACTCTTAAAAAGTTCGAGAGGAGTGTTCCTTATACCGTTGGTATGCTGCCTCTAATAATTTGTGCAAAGCCTTCCGTTTTTGCTGTAGCACTAGAAATGTGATCGGGTCCTGTGAACCCTTATGCTGCATCTCCAGTTTATGTATTTCAGTTAATAAAGACTTTATGGACTGTTCCCTCTCTTTGTTATACTGGACAAGTCTGAAGTCTAAATTGTAATTCAGGCACCATCCAGGTCTATGGACATTGCTTTTAGTAGTATTTTTTTCTTTCTGATCGTAAAAATGAATCCTGTATATAACATCTCATACTTGGTTTGCCCTGTGCACACTAGATATCCGGTGTACCCAATCAATTTCTATGTGGCCTGTCTCTGGGTTCCCCTGGAGTTTATTAAAGAGAGAATTTACTACTGGCAGGAGATCCTTGGGGCCCCTTGTTTCAGGTATTCCTTTTAATCTGATGTTAGTCTGTCGTTGGCGGTCTTCCAGATCTTATGTATGCGCATTGACTGTATCTGTGTATGTTGGTTCCTAATTCCTGCAGTCAGGAAGGAGTATCCTGTAAGTATCGGTGGGATCACTGTCTCCAGTGCCTCTATTCTATCATGGAATCCCTGAAGATCTTTCTTGAGCTCCTTCATTTCTTTTCTATGACCTTCCATTTGCTGAAACATTACCTCCAGATTTCTCTTTGTAGGTAAGTGTGATATCATTTTCTCAGCCGTCCCAATCATATCTGTCTCCATAAGCTCGTTACTTGATTCCAGTATATCATGTCTCCCATGCTGTCCCATTTCACGACATATTGGGGAGGCACTCGCGGAGGACTCCCCTCCCGTTTCATCTCTCAATTCTGGCGTCTTTGATGGAGTACACACAGTGTCTTCCTCTCCTGTCATACGAAAGTAATTTCCTATATTTGTTCTAGTTTTAGGTCTCCGAGTATTTTCCATGTCTTTATGGGTTTTTTTTGCCACTCTTTCCCATTGTTTAACTAAAGGTATAGATTATAGAAAGTAGCAAATGCGGTATTACATATAGCTCAACAATACGAGTCAATTTGTTTTATTCACATCTGTGGAGAAACCACCTCCCTTCCACACCACCTCTCCGGTATTCGAGAGTAGGAACCTACTGAACAGCATTTTTTCTCCACGTAGGCCAATCTACATATGCACAGGGACACTCCAGCTCCCAGTCCTCAATGCCTATTGTGATAGATTTAAAGCCGTCTCAATTGTGCTTGTGAGTACCTTATAACCAGCGATCTCACAAGACTTCTCAACAAGCATGCAGGTGGGTCATTCATCTGTACTTTCTCAGGTTCATTACTCTCAAAGCACAAGTCCTGTAAGTTAATTCTTTTCCAGCATACGCACAAGTGGATAAACGCTGTATAGCCTCTCAAAGAAAGGGAGATATCCCTGACATACATAGAAGTTCTCCACCATTATTCCACTGCAATTATAGGAGGAATAATCAAATTTGGCCATCTCTCAACCAGTTTCCGGCTCCTGCTTCTTGCATCAATTTTCCTGCCAGCTATTTCAGCATATACCTCCAATTTGAGACAGTGGGTTCCACAGTCTTATGTCATGCAAGCAGCGGGCAGAGCACACACACAGACTCCCTCCACTGCATCAGCTTCCCCGACATAAGCTGTCCTAAGCCTGGCCACTAGGGGTTTACAGGGATCCGGACTCCTATCTGACATCCCCTGTCGTCTGCCGTCTCTCTTTCTCCGATTCCGCAGCCCAGGATGTAGAATTCCCGTCTCGGTTGGCTCCATGGTAGTGAAGGCACAGTGGTCTCAATGGCTGGTTACACAGTCCGCAATCAGCACCTGATGGCTTGTGCAGCGGGGCAAACGCGGGGGCTTGGCACCTCGCGTCCTCACTCACTCCTCCATTGGTAAGCCACACCCCCAATTCACACTAGAGTTCCCCTTTACAGCTGAAGCCCTTTCTTTTCACACTAGAGTCCCTCTTTTTGTTAGAGCCTGCGATATACATCAGGAGTGCCCCCTTCACATCAGAGTCCTCAATCCCCTTCACATCAGAGTCCTTCCACCGCATCAGGAGTCACAGCTGAAGCAGCATGGCAGAAGGTAGGATGGGGAGAAGGCCTGGATGGTGGTGAACTTCTGTCCTTTTCTGAATCTATACCACCCACCCTGGATTAGCTTTCTACAATTCCATGGTGCTAGCACTTGGCCCGACTGCGCCACAGAAAAGCATGATATTGTGAGAAAATTTAGAGGCCTCCCCGCAAGGAAGCCAGAAGGCACCCTATTGAGAAAGGCTGACCTAGGCCATCAAATACTGGGTATAGTGCCACCTGTAGGAGTAGGATGCTAGTTACAACTAAAAAACAAGACAGCCCAGAGGCGCTTCCTGCTAGTGGCTACAAACCCCCATAATGTGGAGCAGGTGATGATCTAAAGCAGAGATAATGGCTATTTTCAGATTTACACTATTCTAAAGCTTAGTGCTTTCCATGTCAGAACATCTAGTCTCCATGAGATTTCTGTCTCTTTAGGCCAGGGTAATTAATATACAGAAGTGACAAGTTCTCTCGTAAGCACCCATTTGTTGATACTTACCTTCACTGTGGTCAACCCCCAATCCCTGTGTAAACTCCATTTATCATGGTTTTAGGACTTACATAGGATTAACAACTTCTTCCTCCTCCTCTACATGTGTCAGTGTCTGGGCCTGGTGACTGGCTACACAGACCAGGCATGGGAGGAGGTTATATGCTCCCTCTACCTGGAAGGATTGGATATTTGTTGAGGGCTCAAAAGGAGCAATGTACCCGATTCTCTTCCAGTAAAATAAGAAGGGGAGAGTGGATAGACTTGGCATTAACGGTTTATAGCAGAGGGTAATATACACAGCTAAGAAGCAGTAGGAAGGAAACACCTCCTGGAGCCAGATTGTTTCAAGCCAGAAAACGGTACTCAGAAAAGGCCTTCTGCCAACCAAGCACTATTTGTGGGAAAGAACATTTCACTGGGTTGGTGTCCTGGACAAGAATTTGCTACGTAAAGCAGCCAAACATGGCTAGAAGACCATCTCAAATCTACAGCCATTTTAAGACCAACGCAGAGGTGAAAAAGTCTTAAGATGGACATTGCAGAGATGTGACAACTGTTGATGGAAAGCACTAAAAATTGTTTTAGCCAACAAACATATTATAGGACTTCATGACTTTTGTAAAACTGATTGGTGAACATATTACATAAAAAAGGAATAGGTGCCCTTCCATTATCCCACCCTGCCTCTCTCAGGCTGTGTCAAGATGGAGAAGAAGAGGACAGACAGAGGCGGACCGAGAAGAAGACAGCAGAATTACCTGATTGTGTGATAACTGTGAGATGCCATAATGCAGCAGAGAAAGAAAGGAGGAACATGCAAAGACTGTTATGAGATTCAACACAGAAAGAAAGCACAAGGTTAGTCATTGTTTAAACATTTGGCCTGAGAATGGAGGCAGCGCAAAGCAGAGGTGGACATTTTGAGAGGTCAACAATTCCGGACACTCTGATTTTTCACGGGATGTACGGGATTCAGGAATGATATTCTACAATTACCAGGCGATGATGTAGAATGTTGATACAAAAACTGTGATGGCCACTTTTGTAAGTGACTCTGGTCTTGTACCAGTATGTATGGGAATGGAAGTAATACTAAGGTACCCAGTAAAAGTTGCCATTTTGTAGGTGACACCATACCAATATTCATGAGAATGAAAGTATGACTGAGGTACTTAGAGGAGGTTGCCATTTTGCAAGTATACTCTACCAATATTCATGAGAATGAAAGTACTATTGAGGTACTTGGAGGATGTTGCCATTTTGCAAGTATACTCTACCAATATTCATGAGATTGGAAGAAATACTGGGAGGTACCTCATGAAGTTAGCCATTTTAGGGTGACAATACCATACCTTGATTCATGAGAATAAAAGTAGTATTGAGGAAACTAATGAAGGTGGCCATTTTGTAGGTAACTTCATACTGTACCAGTTTTCATGAGAATGGAAGTAATAATTAGGGATGCACCGATACCAGTGCCGATACTTGGCATTTTCATGAGAACTAGCAGGGTTGCAGCTGGGGCCGGGCTCTGGTGCTCCACCACTGTCCTGAAATCATTAGTCTGTATTGTTTTAGAAAAACTGTCACATGACAGTAAACAAACATGTATCAGTACTTGTGTCTAAGTAGTTGGGCAAGTATCAGTACTTGTAAAAAATGGTATCGGTGCATCCCTTTATATATGTTTCTAAAAACAAAATCATACATTAAAACAGAGATGTACAAATCCCAGGAGCTCTGTGTGCTCCTTACAAATGACAGCTGCCTCCTAACTTTCAAATTTTTCTCTAGTCTAGTCTTGGAGCCGGAAAAGTATCTGTGCTTGTACTTGTACCGAGTACGGGACTTGGTATCGGTGCATCCCTAGTAATAATGATGCTCCTCATGAAGATGACCATTTTGTAGATGACCCAGCTCTGCACCAGTATTTGGGAGAATGGAACTACTGGAGGTACTGTATTAACATGGCCATTTTGTAGGTAACCCAATAGTGTACCAGGATTCATGAGAACATTAGTATGAAGGTTTCTCATTAAGACAGCCATTTTGTGAGCAAAGAGCAGCCTGGGACCAGTATCCTCATTGAGCCACTTTGAGGTTTCTAATAAATTCATGGTGAGCTTCAGCTCACAAAAAGGTAAACATATAAGCTGAATTCCCAAGAACATAAAAGATTTATGTCAAAGCAAAACCTGTGCTAAACTTTATATCAAGCATGGGAAGAAATGGAAATCTAAGCAAGTCAACAGCAGATGAGAAAGCACTAATAAAAGATAATAAATGTTAAGAATACGGCACCATGTCATTCATCAAAACTGTGAACATGCATTTATAAAACAAAGCATATACAATGGCTCTATAAATAAATTATGAAAAGTATTTTATATTCACGGTTCATGTAGCGCTGCTGCCTAGAGACAATATGGCCAATTTGCTTACCTATTCACAAAAACTTTAACTAATTTTTTTTTTTTTGTACTTCCACACCAGCAGATCTTATCCACCAATTCTTAATCTGGCCAGCATAGCATAGCACAATTCCCTTGACATAAATTGACAGTTCTATCTATGGATTCCACCAGATATCTATCAAATTTCTTAGCGGAATAGAAATGACAAGAGGCTAATACTGAATAAATGTAGGTACTTACATTGCTATATTAAAAAAAAGCTCAACCCTTTGATGGACTACAATCTCATGCTTAGTTTTACTCAATTGTATTCACATTGTAGTCCATCCCAGGAGTGAGTTTGGAGCGGTAACTACTTTACAACACACACAGGGACCAGGGGGAACAAAGGTAGCCACCCTCCAGAAGGAAGGACAGTGTCCGCACCAATTCAGAAATTATTTGAGGATCTACAGCCGAGTGATACACAAATAAGATAAATTTCTGTTAATAGTTAAGATACATTTCTGTTAATAGTTAAGGTACTTGGATGCCTTTTTAAAGGAGAACTATGGGGTTAGGGCTTTTCCCCATAGTTCTCCTTAGGGTAACGGGAGGACACAAACTAGCGTCCTCCCGTCACCCAAAGCTCGGTATACCACGAGCTACAGCTCGCGGTATACTGAGACGCCGCAGCTGAAGCGGATCCCGACAATTATGTTGTAGAAAACAGTAGAAAAACAAAAACACAATAACCCCCCCTCCCCCTCCACACACACAAAGATATTATACAGGTGCAACAGTGTGCACCATATTGCACATGCGCTGCGGTGCGTTGTTAGAACACACCGCAATGCTTGATTTTTTCTTTTTAAAATAACATTAATTTAACTGTGGCAGCGCATGGCAAAGCGTTGTGACGTTTGCCGTGCGTTGTGATACCTTGTGTTGCAAGGAAATGTACGCCTGTATCATTTTATCACAACACACACCAACACAGCGCACAAACCATTTCTAACATAAGTCGCTTATTTAGTTTTGTGTTACTTCATTGTTTTATCGTTTTGCAAAAAGGCGCCATTTAAAATTTACACATTTGTTATTCATTAACTCAAAATTTTGTGCACTGATATTGATGTTAGAGTGCTTTTATCAATTTAATTGTGTATTTTGATCGGTTTAATATTGGTTTGATAAACATTTACGCAATTATCACAGGACCTACAAATTTAGTAGCACCATCTTTTTATTCTACCGGCCTGTGCTTTCAGAAAATGTATGGTTTTTTTGGGGGGGTCTTTTACAAACGCTAAAATGGTGTGGCCAGCTGAGGTTGAAAGTGTTCTGGAGGACTTGGCAGCCAAAGGGTTTATATTTAATAGTCGTGTCTTTGAATTGCCTGATGCCTATCTTTGATTTACTCCTACTACCGAACAAGGCAAAGAATGAGGAAGATTGAAAAAGAATAATAGAAAAAGAAAACAAATGGTACGATGACTAGATTTAGCCGGGTAGCACAAGGAAATTGATCACGTATTGCTTTTGTTTGACATTTTACACTAGAATCAAGCTCTCGAAGACACGCCATGTTTATATTTATGGTTCACAAGTGACCTGTGTTAAGGAATAACATTGAATGGCAGTATAGACAATTAGAAGGGGAATCATTTTTGCAGAATGGAGGAATAAAACGTGTCTGTGTGATTGGAACAGTCACTCTTTGGTGGTGTGATAATCAGGTTATTACAATTTAAAGTGACACTAGACTCCGGAGGTAATTCTTAAAAATACATTCAAGTACATTAACTATTAACAAAAATGTATCTTATTTGCGTATCACTCGGCTGTAGATCCTCCAATCATCTCTGAATTGGTACGGACACTGTCCTTCCTTCTACTTTTGTTCCATAAGGTCCCTGTGTGTGTTGTAATGTAGTCACCGCTCCAAGCTCACTCCCATCATGGACTACAATCTCAATACAAATTGGTAAACGCATTTCTCAGAGGTGCCTTGACGTGGCAGAGTAGCGCCAACATCTTTATTTAAAGTGACACTAAACTCAGGAGTGAAATCTTAAAAATACATTCAGGTACCTTTAACTATTAACAAAAATATATCCTATTTGTGTATCACTCAGCTGTAGATCCTCCAATCATCTCTGAATTGGTGCTGACACTGTATACAAGTGAGTAAACTAAACATGAGATTGTAGTCCATCACAGGAGTGAGCTGGGAGTGGTGACTACTTTACAACACACACAGGGACCATGGGGAGCAAACGTAGCCCTCCTCCAGAAGGAAGGACTGTGTCAGCGCCAATTCAGAGATGATTGGAGGAACTACAGCTGAGTGTAGTACTTTTTCAATGCTTTATTGTAGAGCAGCCAAAACTGGGAGAGAGGGTATAGGGCTACAGAAATCCATGGTCAGAGTAGACTCCAGACTCACCAATCCCTTCCAGCTTCCACAGCGCAGGAATATTTTAGTTGAGCAGAAGATGACACTGTGTGATCGAACCACAATTGGATAGAGGATCTTCTTGAGATCTTCCCTGGGAGAGATGCCAGACTTGTTCCTGAGCTCCATGGCATCCTGGCCTTTCTGACACCTCCAGCAGATAAAGGGCTCTTCTGGAGGGGGACTACTTTTGTTCCCCATGCCCCCTGTGTGTGTTGTAAAGTAGTCACCGCTCCAAGCTCACTCCCGGGATGGACTACAATCTTGCGTTTAGTTTACTAATTTGTATTGAGATTGTAGTCCATCCTGGGAACGAGCTTGGAGCGGTGACTACAACACACACAGGGGCCACGGGGAACAAAAGTAGCCCCCCTCCAGAAGAAAGGCCAGTGTCAGTGTGCTGCCACATCCAGTGTCATTTTTATTATTTCTGCTGTTTTAGTTACACTGCATATCTATATCATTGCATTTCATTGTTATGCTGTATTTCTAGCTACAAGTGTAAGATTACCATTGTTACAGCCTTATCTGTGCATACTTGGCATCTTCCACTTTACTCCTGCTGTTTTCTGTACATTAAAGGAGAACTATGGGGTCAGTAATAACTATATTACTAATACCCTATTAGTTACACCCTATTAGGAACTATAATACCCAAAATTAGCCATAGGTGACGCTTTAAAAGCTATTACCGCTCATCAGTTTAGTGTTATCAGTGATTGATGGCCCTAAAATTATTGCTCTCACTGCAACGTTCGCGGCGACATGTAACGTGTGTAGCGCAATTGTCGTTTTCGCACGCTGGTGCACTGCATGTGTATTTACGTTTATATGTGCGTAAACGTGGGGGACAGAATTTTTTGGGGGGGTTTTTTAAACTTTTTTTAAACTCTGTTTATGTTTTTTTTTTTTACACATAATGTCATTGCTATTGCATAGGGGATTAAAAAAACCCTACATAATAGCAAAGGCACACTGACAGGTCCTCTTTATGGAGACATTAGCGGTTTCTAAGACCCCTAATGTCACCTGGGGACCATAAAAGAAGCTGATGAAGCAGAGATCTGCTTCATCAGTTTCTTCTCTCTGGCAATAGCAGCCAGAGGACTGACAGGTGAATGCGGAAGTGATGTAATACACATCACTTCTGCATTCACAGCACAGAGGGAGATCAGCAAGGAGGAAGATGCTTATCTCCCTCCCATCTTACCTCCTGACATTCTCCCGAGCCGGATCCCGGGAATGAAGGTGAGGGGTCAGCGGCGGCGGAACAATCGCGGCGGTAGCACTCGAGGGGGGGGGGTCACGCTGCCAGCACATACACACGATCGGCAGGCTATGGAGCCGCCGATCGTGTATATGTGAAACAGCCGGTAATGGCTCTGTACATTGGACGGGTTTTTTGCTGCCCGGGCGTGCGCGAGCAGAAAAAGAATTCCGTCTGGGGACAGCAACACGCCAATGCGACTGTGCCGTCCGTCCGTTTTTTTGCAACGTGCGGACGGCAACTGGTTAAAGTACTTGAATGTATTTTTTAGATTGTAAGCCCTCAGGGGCAGGGCCCTCCTTACCATCTTGTCTTGAATTGTATTGTGATTGTAATGTCTTCCTTATATTGTAAAGCGCTGCACAAACTGTTGGCGCTATATAAATCCTGTATAATAATAATAATAATAATTTTGAAGATTTCACTCCTGAGTTTAGCGTCACTTTAAATGATCAGTATGGGAATGTGTGCCTGCAACTAACCCTGGGTTCAACTAAAAATGTACTTAAATACAAAGGGCATCCATCTCCTATTAAAGCTGAACTCCTGGCAAACAGCTACATACACCGATGAAATACATATTAGGAGTGCTGTTTTATCCGTCAAAGGATTTGTATTTTGGTTCATCCACTTCCGACACTTACACAGCTCTGCCAAACACAGCTCTGTCTGGCAGGGCAGTAGACCTGGTTTTTCCCTGCTACAGTTAAAGTAGAACTAAAGCCACAAACTTTTTTAGGTTTGGAGAGAGTAAGGGACTGTTATAACCCCCGTCAGCTTTTTTTTTTTTGGCCATCTATGTCCCAGTGATGTTAACCACAACAGGAAGTGAGAGGAAATCCCTCCATAGTAAGGGCAATCCCTGGTGGTCAGCAAGGTACCTGATCTAGTGTTCCCAATGGAAGATTTCCCACCAGGACAACTAAAGAGGGGGCACAGACAGCAATAAACAACAGGCAGGTGTTCTAATCCCTTTCCACTGCACCTAAATCTAAAAGAAAACGTTTTGGCTTTAGTTGCAATTAAAGTACCACTTACAGGTCCCTTCCCCAGTCTGTCACTGGATCCACTCAACTCAAATCAACTGCAACCCTTCATCAATATGAACATGATGCTAGAGCATACCTTCTGTTGTGCCACATGGAGCAATGCCTAAACCGTGGCCCCAAACCCATTTTTCTATACTAAAACCAGCCTACTGCCCCCAAAGTCCCATTCCCTCTCAAGTACCCTGTTTCCCTGAAAATAAGACCTAGTTCTATTTTTGGGAATTGCTAAAATATAAGACCTACCCTCGAAAATAAAACCTAGTTGTGACCATTCCCAGGGCCGGTGGTGGCATAAGGGGGAACTTGAAGAGCCGTGGGAGAGAATCAGCGGTGCCAACGTAGCAAGCGCTAGAGGAAGCGAGGCGGCACTGGAGGGAGCAGAGCCACATAAGCCGATACCTTCTCTATAGCGCCGGCTCCTATCACATGTGGAGTGATACCAAAATAAGACCTAGTGCGTTTTTTTGAGCCAAAAAAAATATAAGACAGTGCCTTATTTTCGGGGAATGACGGTACAATCTCTTCTGCTACTGTGTAGTCTCAGGAGACAATGCTAGATGCACTTCTGGGAACCATTCAAAAATTCCAAACACACCCCTACATTGTGGATCATGCAGATGGGTATTTCCTGTAGTAAAAGTAACTTTTCCATTCGTTATAAAGATTGTCATTTAGAGAATATAAAAGTGATGGATCCAGCATAAAGAATGACAAAAAACAACAACACTTACTTCTGTAATACAAAAATTCCTATAATTACAGTGAATGAGATCAAGTCTGACGTGATCCAAATGAGAGAATATTCATCTGGAGTCTGCAAGATACAAAGACAGGGGGAAACGTTAGCTGCATAGCTGAAATGATGTACAGGAACCCCTTGCTGGTATACCTGTGTATACAGACATGCTATTCTCTATGCCAGTGGTCGTCAACTTACCAAAGGACAAGTACAGGGAAAGTATACATACTTTTCCAAATGCTTAGAGCTGGTTTGGGGCATTGCAGCTGTCGCACGCCAGCTCTCAGACCAAGAGCTGACTGATCAGATGACCGCTGAGCAGTCAGCTCTCCGTCTCTGCTCCCAGCACATGACAGTGACGATCATTAACTGCCTCCCATAGGGATTCCCCCTACCCTCTCTGCTCCTCCAGCACTGACCAAAGCTACAGGCTGGAGACAGCCATGTGCATAGACACCGAGCCAGTTGTCAATTAGGCAGCAAGAATGGATTCCAACAATATTGGCGGGATCCTTCCCGACTGCAGCGTGGCTCGGCCATAGCATTAGCCTGTCATCGGCTGACTTTGTATCACAGGAGTACATTAACTAATGTATTCCTGTGACCAAAAAGAGAAGTGCAGCCAGACTAACTTTACTTCTCTTTTAAAGTAAGAGGCCTTAAGTGTGGTCCCAGACATCCCCAAAGGGCCCGCACATAATGTTTAGCAAATGTAATCCTACAGAAAGCTGTCAGATACTGTAGACATGCTACAGGAGATGGTCGGGGACTACTGCCATGCTACAGGAGGGGGTCAGAGACTATGGGGAAGCTGCAGGAGGTGGTCGGAGACTATGGGCATTCTACAGGAGGTGGGTCAGAGACTACATGAGATGGATAGAGACTATAGGCATGCTATAGGAGGTGGGGAGAGACTATGGGCATGCTACAAGAGATGTTCAGAGACTATGGGCATGCTACAAGAGATAGTCAGAGACTATGAGCATGCTACAAGAGATAGTCAGAGACTATGAGCATGCTGCAGGAGATGGTCAGAGATTGGGGACATATGACACTTTACTGAAGGTTAAATGGGACTGCTAGAGATCACTACCATTACCCCTCCTTTACAAATCAATGCTTTTACATTTATGCACCCTATAGCACAATAAAAATGATTTGACACATTTAATATTGCTCTTGTTTTTGCAATTTACAAGTTGCTTTTTGTGTAGGGCTAACAGTGACAAAAAAAATAATGCTCCGACATCAGTGTGAGGAAAAAATGTCCTTAAGTCGTGGTGTCACTAGAAGTAAAAAATGGCCCTGTAGCCAGGTATGGTATATGCGTCAGTGGACATTCTGTGCTCACTCTCAGGTGGGCGCCCACGCTCATAAGGTGGTCTGTTCTCAGCAGACGCCCTCGTCTGTCTGCTTTCTTCAATCCTCAGTAGGCTCCTATTGAAATATAGGAGACGACAGAATCCTCCATCCAGCAGCTATCATGGCCTCTGCTATGTCCTCTGTTCTCCAACTGTTTAAATTAGAGGAGTGCCAGTAGTACTTCTATCATTTAGGCAGCTGAATGACTACTGGACATCCAAACCTATCTCTGGAAAAAAATTTAGGAGGATATCTCCCCCCAACAGGACAAAAAAAAAAGAGTCATAACCATTTTCTACTCTATATATTCTGCTACATTACTAGATGAGAGATCTGTTCGGTAGGAATAATGAACCAGTGCTGCCACCTAGAGGAGGAATACAAGTCAGTAATATATTGAGTTGGGGCGGAGGCCAACACCACTATGCTTAGGAATGACAACTTACCAATATCCAGATGGGGAAAGGCACCTTACTAAGAATATGTGAAGCATCTGAGGTGATGGACGGGACCCCAGCACACCACAGCACCGAGAACAACCAAGGTTCATTGATGACGTAGGTGTTTAGTGTCAGGTTCTGTGACTGGTATTCCCTGTTAGAGGAGAACAGAAAGTTAAAATTAAGGAGCATAGAGAGAGACACCTGTTGGCTGGAAATAGTTAAAGAAAGCCTGTCACCAAATCATTCATTTTAACAACAATCTTCCCTTTAAGATATCATATAATGTATATATTGCATGTGATTTACATGGAAAAACCTCCCTTGTGTAGGCATCAAAAAGCTCAGAGTCTAGTGCTGGTCACCGTCATCTTGGATGTGATGTCAGCAGCCCCACAACTGTCACTCAAATGACACTCTATAGCAGGGGTAGCCAAACCTCGGGCCCTCCAGCTGTGGTTTAACTACAAATGCCATCATTCATCTCCGGAAGTGATGCCTGTGGCTGTCAGAGTCTTGCAATACCTTATGGGACTTGTAGTTCCACAACTGCTGGAGGGCTGAAGTTTGGTTACCCCATACTCTATAGTATCTCCCTTCACTCCTCCCACAGCAGCTACATAAAAGTTATGTAGAGAGGTGAAGGGAGATGAAGAGGAGCTGGGCACTGATGAGTGGAGGGCTGTAACGTGCAAGCAGAGAGGGGGTTGTGCTATGGAATGGAGTAGACACATTTTCTAGCAAAGGCACATTGCAAGTAAAAAACAAAATAAAAACAAAAAACCCAACCTTTATGGAAAGGAAAAACTCTACTTTTACCTTCAAATTTTGAATGTCAACATTGCTCAATTTTAAACGTCTAAAAAAATGCACTAAGAGCAGACACCATAGGATTCCTTATATTACCTTTATTTAGAGATGCACAGATACAGTTTTTTCCGCATCGAGTACCGATATTGTTTTCTTCGGTACTCTCCGATACCAAATACCGATACTGGAAGTCCCATTAAGGAAGCTGGGCGGCGTGTAATGACTCGCCGCCCAGCTTCCTGATTAGCCGGGGAGCCGAGTGGCGTGTAGCAACTTGCCGCCCGGCTTCCCGATTACCCAGGAAGCCGTCTTCATGCTCCCTCGTCACCGGTTGACGAGGAAGCATGGAGCTGGCTTTCTTTTTTTATATGAAATCTTCAGATGTAAAAAAAAATTATATATTTTAAATGTATGTTTTGTACTTATCAAAAAACATACCATAAAAAACCTATACATTCATATGTCTCTGTAGGGAACCCTGCACAAAAGCTTGGAGTGAATCTCACCTGATGTCTTCATGGTCGACCTCAGTATACCTCAGGTTTACGAAGCTGATGTCTCTGTCCTTCAAATACTGGGGGTCTCTCTTCATACTGGAGGCCTGCTTGAATCCTGGAGCCAGCTGTCTGACTAAAGTTCTTTCATGGTCAGAGAGCCAGACAACCTAAGGGTACAAAAATGAGCCAAGACATCTTCTGAAATACACTCACAGGAAGTCAACATAACCAAAAGATCTGGTCATACGTTGCCAATGTTTCATAAGTAATGCAATGTAATTAACATCTCTTAAGGAGAACTATGAGGTGAGTGATTTCCACTCACCTCATAGTTCTAGCCGACCTGTGACAATGAGACCGTCACAGGTCGGCTCAGTAGATCGGGAGGTGAGCGAACACATATCGGCGTTCGCTCACCTCTCGATCCTGTCACGGCTCTCTGCCGTGACAGGGGAGGAGCTGGATTCCCCCTCCCCGCTCCGATCCGCCAGCGCTGACTGGTGGAACGGACGGGGGAGGGGGCGGCTACAGTTGGCTCTGCCTCTAGATAGGCAGAGCCAGCTGTCACTCACGCAGCTGGGCGGATCTTAACATAGATGTCGGGATCCGCTCCGGCATCTCAGTATACCGCAAGCTGTAGCTCGCGGTATACTGAGCTTAGGGTAACGGGAGGACGCTAGTTTGTGTCCTCCCGTTACCCTAAGGAGAACTATGGGGGAAAGCCCTGACCCCATAGTTCTCCTTTAATGCTTAAAAGACCTGATAATTATTTCAGTTTTTTACCCATTTGGCTTGACTTCAAACATGTCTGCCTTTATTGATCGCCATTACATTGAGAGGGGGGGGGACAGTCTGTATTAAATGTGTGCAAAGGTGGTCTTCTGGTTGACTCACTGACCATAGGCGATGAGTATATCTGTTCTCCCCCAACAAATAAAGACCTACGCTTTTTTTTTCCAAATGCTTCACAAAGATTTATTGACACTTGGATGCATACATCAAAATCCAAAGCACTTAGCTCTCCACCACACCCTGCTCCATCCTCCCCAACAGGGGCTTAGTCATAGAAGCCTAAGCCCCTGTTAGGATAAAACACATGAGAAGATGGAGTAGGGTCTGGCGGAGAGCTAAGTGCACAGGCTTGCAGTATATGTATCCAAGTGTCAATAAAGCTTTGTTTGAAGCATTTGAAAAAGAGAATGAATTGGAGGTGTGGCTTTCTTTACTTGCATAGTCTTAATTATTGTAGAGGGATTCAGCACACATACTGACGTAGAATAATTGGCAGGACCCTCCATACATCCACATTTGTTTTCCATTTCCATGTGACATAGCTTGTGTGTTTGATGCCCATGCAGGAACTGCAAACGTCATTCAAAGCATCCAAAATATTAACAAGCATATACATTCACTGAGCAATTCATTTGGAATACCATACCAACACTGAGTAGGCCCCTCCATTGGTCTTAATTTGGTCTTAATTTTCATGGCATGGATAAAGAACTTCGCAAAGTTCTCTCAGTGCAAACTTAGTTATTGGGAGACAGTCAGATTATTTTGACATGTCATGTGACCAGGCTCTCTTCTATTTTAAGAACAGCACTGCCCTGTTTTTGGGCTCCTAAAGCCAGCAGAGCGCAAAGCACATTTGTAAAGCTCATGACTGTGCTGTATAAATGTGCAGGAAGTTGTTTTTTTTTTAAATTTCCGTTCCATCCAATCAGGCAGGCCCATGTGCAATGTAGCTGTTGATAAATCTAGAAGTGACTGTACAGTCAGCGTGTAAAGTATATGGCCACCTACATTAACCCGTACCTTCAGTCTAGCAGTGGCACAAAGTCTACAACAGACACAATGTCAACCAAAATGTCTATTTATTCATAGCTGATCTGTGGCAGCTGAGTGTCTTGTATAGACCTATGAGACATAATGACACTCACCTGCTGCTGTTGAATCCCAGACTGTAGGACGGTGTTGACCGTGATGTTAATATAATCTCCATAGTGAGGATGGTCAGAAGGGACAGGGTGGACTTTCAATAGAATGGACGTGTTACTTTTCTTCACCAACTCCAAGAGTTCGGTCAACTTGCAGACGGACTGGTTCCCAGCCTTAGTGGCGTCTATGGATGAAAGGGAGCTGACTGTCCAGAATGGGTCGGTCTGTCGTTCAAACAAGCACAAGAGGAGGATAGTTAAGTAGCGGAGTGAACATTTTGGACTGAAAGGACAACTGGTTTGCAAGAGGCGTGAAAGAGCCTAACACTCAACTGGAACAACCATCCTTGAGCAGGAGCAGGGGCCTTTGACACCATCTGTCTAACACATACAGTCATGGGCAAAAATATTGGCGCCCCTGTATTTTTCTGTCAGATAATGCACCACTTCCCGCAGAAAATTGTTGCAATTACAAATATTTAGGCATTCTCATGTTCATTTCTTTTGTTTGTATTAATATAACAAAGTGGAGAGAAAAAAAAAGCAGAATCTGACACATGCCACGCAAAACTACAAAAATGGACTGGACTAAATTATTGGCACCCTCAACTTCAGTTATTTGGTAGCACAGCCCTTGGAAAAAATAGGTGAAATCAATGGCTTCCTGTAACCATCAATGAGTTTCTTACACCTCTCTACAGGGATTTTGGATCACTCTTCTTTCCCCAACTGCTCCAGGTCTCTCAGATTGGAAGGTTCCCTTTCCCAACTGCTATTTGAGATCTCTCCACAGGAGCTCTATGGGATTCAGATCTGGACTCATTGATGGCCAGTCCAGAACTCTCCAGTGCTTTGTCTGAAACCATTCCTTGGAGCTTTGACGCGTGCTTTGGGTCATTGTCCAGCTGGAAGACCCAAGACCTCTGCCGGAGACCCAACTTTCTGACACTGGGCCCTACATTGCAACCCAGAATTCTTTGGTAGTCTTCAGATTTCATAATGCCATGCACACAGTCAAGACATCCAGTGCCTGAAGCAGCAAAGCAAACCCAAAACATCAGTGACCCCACCCCACCATGTGTGACTGTAAGGACTGGATTTTATTCTTTAAAGGCCTCATTTCGTTTTCTGAAACCAGTAGAATGATCGGCTTTTCCAAAAAGCTGTAATTTTGTGTAATTCCAATACAAAGAAAAGAAACAAACATGAGAATGCCGACACATTTGTAATTGTAACAATTTTCTGCGCAAAGTGGTGCATTATCTGACCGAAATGCAGGGGTGCCAATATTTTTGGCCATTACTGTATAATGCCACACCAGCAATTTGACATACATTAATACCTTTAACTTTGGAAATTGAGGGATTCCCACCTATGCAGACCGGCAAAACACAGAGGATGGGATTTTGTTACTAGAACAGGGTGGTTCCAAAACTTTCACACCTCCCGTCCTGTTCTTGGACAGTCAACATCTGCCTTGACGCATTCCATGATTATTTGATTCAGGGGTCTGTGCCACCTTTGTGGATATAAATGTTGGAGTATCTTCCTTACATTGGAACTGAAGACTTGGTTTGGTAAAGCTACGAAGCACCAACATTCCAAGGCAAGTCTAGTTGAATGTGACTAACTACTACTGGCCACAACTGAATGATTTTATGTTGGAGCTTTCATGATAAATATAAGATTTTAACATATGATAAATATAAGAAAATGTGTTACTATAGCTCTGCACATGTTTGTGACTTTAGCCACTTTTGTGCAGATTGACTAAAAGCCGGCCATCATAGACATACCAGCTATTATATGGGACAAGGAAGACCATCAAGGACACCAGGTTGGAGCACTATTATACTATCACACAAGAGTATCAATAGTCCTTCCAAAGGTAAATTTTAAATGAATTATTAGAGAGGGGTTTTACATTACAGCTCTCCAAATTCACTAAGGACATTTTAGTTTTTTGGGTTTAGATAAAACTTTATTGTGCTCATGGCTGTGAACACCACTGTACTAGGTGGGCCATTGAAAGCCCCTGGTCTAAAGAACCCATGTTCAATCCAAACTTTCAGTCATGCGCAGGGAAACTTGGAAAAGTGACTGCACGTTGAAGCAAATTGGAATTCAATGGCCCATGAAAACACTTCTGGATTAAATACCGCCCTCCTCATTCAAAGAGAAACTCTTAAAAATGGAATGGTTGGCACCAGAGGCATGGTCAGTGTAGAAATAATAAATTGACTTGTTACCTTCAGAAACCAATCCCCGGCATTCAGTTTCTCTAGGATGGTCCAGTTGAGCATGGATGATGGTTCTGAGGCTAACTCTGGAAAGACTCGTTCGATGTTCGTGGTTCTTCGGAGGGTGCCATCATGCATGAGAAATGGAATCCCGTCATGGCTGGAGGAAAAGGACACAACATGCGCGTCATGGCTGTCTCATGAAAAAGAACTCTTTTAAAGCCCAATTCTGGGCTCTGTGCTTCCTTTCCCTTTATCCCCACCCCTCTCCTCCAAAGGTCCTTGTCAGCTGGATTTCATGTCTATTGTTTACTTACCTTTTTTCGGGTGTCTTTTAGTGGTCATGTGACATCCGGGGTCCTTTTCCTCTTCAACCTTCACCTTGGAGGTGGACGTTCGTGGAAGCTCAAGGAGCTTACAATCTAAGGTCCCTATCTCACAAGCAAATATACAGGGAGTGTGGGAGGACCCCGGAGGAAACATGCACAGGGAGAACATGCAAATTCCTTGCATATAGTGCCCTGACCGGAATGTGAACGGGTACCCTCAAGGCTGCAAGTATCACTATGCCACAGTGTGTGTTGAATATATTCAAATTGAGTTCAGAAAGAGATGTGAACTATGATACATTCTATGAACTATGATCAATAACACTCTTCGTGCCCTTGATGGCTATGCTCACGCCTTCACTGTATCTATAGAGGGAGCCATGGTGGTCACCCAGGCTGGACTTCAAACATGCCTGCCTTTGTTGATCGCCACTACATTGAGGTGGGGCTAGGAGTTTACAAAAGGAAGACAAGATTGTCTGTGCTTTCCTTTTCACCTCACATGAATACATGAACAACAATGGATTTCTGTCAAATCAGCAGGTATCTTCTGAAGTCTGAAAAAAAGAAAACTGATGCAGCCACCACATCTATAGACTGATGAGGATGCAATATATAACATTTTTGTTTTTGGGTTTAGATATGCTTCAGGGCAGGGAAGAGTTGGAACCTGTCAGTGCATGGAGAGACCATGTTGGTACTTTCCATTCTAGAGAGAAGTGCGATTATAGAGAGAAAGGACTGACAGAGGAACCTAATGGGACTTTCAGCGCTACAGACATGGGGGCGTAGCACAGTGGTGTATACTGTGACCTGTATTCCTATAAAGACTGGAAAGAATCAATAGACGTAAATAGACACCTTCACCTGTTGTATTTCCTTACCTTACCATGACATCTGCCTCCAGGCCGTACGTTTCGTGTTCTAGCGCCTTTTTAAAAGACATTATTGTGTTTTCTGGTGCAAGCTGAAATGAAAAACAAGTACGACATTATTATTTTGATGATGGTGTTGATGATGATGATTATTAATAGAGGGTATGGAAAACCACATACATTATTATAAGTGTGGGTTTGTTTTAACAAAATGAGACGAAAATAAGAATCAGGCAGACCAATCTGCCAGAATTAGTTCCCAAGATAGGCTGGACCATTATGATGAATAAGCCTTAAAGGGTAATTTCCACTTTTGCAGTCAAATTGGGATAACACGTATTTTATATTTGTTACATGTTCCCATTCACATAGAATAGCTTAAAACAATCCTTTATAGCTTTCCCCTTGTATTCAATGTTGAGGGGACTGGGGAGGTAATGTTTACCATAAGTTCTGTACACTGTAAGTCACACCACCTCACATGCAGTCTTAGCCTCAATACAGCAAAATAGAAACTGCTCGATGATCATTTTATGACACGCTGCAGTTAGTCATCATCACCAGCAGGGGGCTCCAGAGAACTGTATCTTCAGCAGTTTATACATTACAAGTCACTCAGCTCCACACACAGCTTTATGTACAAGCCTATCTCAATCCAGATTCTTTGGAACTCTAGAGTCTCCTTCCCATTTCCTATTTTTTTAAAACTTTATCACTTTTTTTTTTCTTTACTTATTTCTTCTTATTTTTTTTAATTTGTATTTAATTCTTTTTTTAATTCCTGGAGTTCTGCCCTTTTTTTGGATAGAGAAGGGGAGGATTGAAACCACTGTCCTCCACTCTTCACCAGTGTAAGCGGACCCTTCTTCCCTGGCGGCCAATGTAAGGGGACCCTTCTCAACTGAACCCCCATGTTAGGAGGCCCTCTTCCACTAAACGGTAATGAAAGAGGCCTTTTCTCCAATGACCACCTGTAAGCAGGATCTTGTTCCCTGATGCCAATGCAAGCGGGGCCGTTCCCCACTGACCACAAATGGAAGCAGGATCTTCTTCCCTGTCTGTAAATGGAAGGGGCTCTCCTCCACTCACCACCAATTTAAGACGACCCTTCTTCCCTGACTGCCCCTATCAGGGTGCCCTTTCCCAACTGACAACCAATGCCAGACTATGTCCCTCTCCCCTTCCTACCTGGTTTCAACTTTCAGCTGGCATGCAGCAATGTGTGCAAGACTTCAGGTAATTACCGCTTGCTGCTCTGAAAACATATTTTATGTTGAACAAATACGTGTCCTGAAGATTTATTTATTTTACATATTGGCTCTCTTCTATCATTCAACACTCACAGTAGCAAAGTGTTGAGGTGCAATGAGAAATCCATTCGGGTCTCTCTCAGCACCCTGGACACGTACGGGCCCTAGAGAGCGTCAGTCAATATATAATGGCTCTCAGATGTGCTCTTACAGTTTGGGAACGCCGTCTCTCCTCTTCAGAAAATCGCTATCCACAGCCATTAGTGTCTATTCTCGCTCCTTCAAGACTGACAAAATTGAGGTGTAATCAGCTCTGTGCGCCGGAGGACGGATCCGCCGATGTGTCTGCAAACCAGCTCCAGCTCTAATGAGGATGTTATTCACCTCTGGCGACCCCGAGCCACAATCATTCAAACACAAAGCCAATCAGCGCAGACAGACGTCTGTGTATATATGCCCGAGTGTATTTACCCAACGTGTACCGCCAGATGAGGAGGCACCAACTTATCTAAACGTCTGCCGGTACAGAACATCCACAGTGAGGGAAGTTTATAAGATCTGCTGTGCATCAGATTATTAATATTGTGCCCTTCATGTCACATTGTTACAGCATTGCTACCCCTGTATATCATTCAGCTGCACCTGCCCCCAACACACACCTTACAGCAATCTGCTATAGCAGAGCCCCCATGCAGCAAATTTGACAGCAGTGCCCCTGTAAAACAATATATGACAATGGTGCGTCCCCCCCCTCCCAATCTATGAATGCAGTGCACCCCCGTACAGCAGATTTGACAATGGTGCCCTCCCATACAACATTTTTGACAGCAGTGACCCCTATACAGCAGATGTGATAGCCCCTGTACAGCATATTTGACACCAGTAACCCCTGTATAGCAGATTTGGTGGCGGCGATGCCCCTGTACAGAAATCCATGACAGCGGCGCACCCCCGTACAGAAATCTATGACAGCGGCGCACCCCCATACAGAACTCTATGACAGCGGTACAGCAATCCATAACAGCGGCGCACCCCCGTACAGAAATCTATGACAGCGCTGCACCCACCTACAGAAATCTATGACAGCGGTGCACCCCTATAAAGAAATCTACCGCAGCGGTGCACCCCCATACAGCAATCTATAACAGTGCGACCCCGTACAGCAATCTATGACAAGGGTGCCCCCATACAACAATGGCGGAGGTGTCCCCCCAATCTATGACAGCATTGCACCCCCAAACAGCAATCTATGACAGTGCAGGCCCCCATACAGCAATCTATGACAGAAGAGCTTGCTCCCTCCCCCTGTAATCTATACAGTGCTTCACTTCCCCTGTATAGCAATATATGACAGCGGTGCCTCCACATGACAATCTGTTACAGCAGAGCCTCCCCGTACACCAATATGTTACACCAGAGCCGCCCCCCCATACAACACCCACCCCCACACCCTCTCTGCTGACACATAGCTGTCATCTGGCTCCCAATCTGTTGACTGTCTTCTCTCAAAACACTCGTTACAGTCTTTGTTACAGGAAAATCATAATAGTTTAAATTTTTTTAGTTTTTAAATGGATGTTAATTTCAGTATTTTCAATATACATGTACAGGCAGTCCCCGAGTTACATACATCCGACTTACATACGACCCCTACTTACAAACAGAGGCTATTACTGTACAGCAGGGGGTCCCAGGCTGCAGCCAAAGTGTACCGTGCAGCATCTCAGTAGTTCTAATGCTACCGCGCTCGTGCTGATGAGTGCCCGCCTTTTTGCGTCTGGTTTGTAGTACTGTATGTACATTACAGGAAGTTGGCTCTTGTTAGACGTGCAGACGAGGGGTGCCCGCCTCTTCTTCCAGGTCACTGTGAGGTTTTTACTGCTGTCTGTATCCTCATTAAAAAGATTTAATCTCACTTGCTGTCCTTGAGACAACAGGAAGTGAAAAGAAATCTACCCCTAGGAAGGGAAATTCCCTCCTGTAAGAGTTATCATGGTAAACAGGAGTCTCCCCTTAAGCTTCATCACCAATCCTTGTTTCCACGACAACCCAAAATGTTCAAAATCCAATTGTCACAGGGACAGAAAGTGAGGTGAAATCTTCTGAACAGGGGCGCACACAGCAAAACAAATGTTACAGGGGGTAAACCCTTCACTATGCTATCCAAAACGAAAAACAATTTTTTGGCTGGAGTTACACTTCAAAAAAATTTACCTGTTCCAACTTACATACAAATTCAACTTAAGAACAAACCTACAGTCCCTATCTTGTTCGTAACCCGGGGATTGTCTGTACATACCCACATACAATTGTTAACATTTAAGGCAAAACAAAAGAATCCCAGAGAACCACGGGTTCTGCACGCCACACGGATCTGTACGGGCCGACACTTAGGCCCCGTTCACATATAGCGAATTGTCACGCGATTTCCGCCGCGATATCGCGCATTTTTGCCGCGCGATATCGCAAGAAGTCGCTGGCCAATGTTATTCAATGGAGCTGTCTTAACTCCATGTCGCGAGTCGCTCGTCGCGGTCGCAAGTCGCTTCTACCGGACCCTTTTTTCGGCGGATTTTGCGCGATTTTGCTTTTTTTCTATGGAGCCCGACGGAGAAGGTCGCGCTACCGTCGCTGGATCGTCGCTGGAACGTCGCCCCGAAAGTCACGCTATCCCGGCCGCGGCAAAGGTATGTCGCTATATGTGAATGGGGCCTTAGTGTGAATGAGGTCTTACCATGATCAGTGTTTGTTTAGAGAAAAAATGAATGTTACTGCAGATAAAAAGAACAACATTTATAGATTCATTTATCCTCCTAAAAGTCCCCGTTCACACCAGGGCGTTTGTAGCTCGTATTTGTCAGCATGGAAAAGCTCCGCATAGCGTCACGCTGAAGAAAAGTCTCAGCATAGCGTCGCGCTGAAGAAAAGAGCGTCCTTTTTGGGCAGATCAGCGCGAGTAGGAATATATCGCGCTGAACTCCCCAAAAAGAGACGCATACTTACAGGCTTGTGCGGAGCTTTTCCCTGCTGACAAATACGAGCAAGAAAAGCCGGCGATGTGAACGGGCACTAAAATTAGGATTCGAATACCGAGCATTGTCAAGACAAATTTGCACTTTTTAAATGCAACACTACAAATAAAGAAATAACAAAACAATGGGAGAGGAGAAAGATGAGGGGGAGGGGAGTTGATTAATAGTGGTTAGGGAAAACTAATGGTTAGTAAGGGGTTTAATAAGAACAAATCTGATTTATTACATTTTTATTTTATTTATTTTTTAAAGCTTTTTTTAAAATAACTGGTCAGGTTGCCGACATATGCAGATCAAATGTAATGTTACTTTGTATCTCCCTATCTCCTGACTGAACAATGTTTAAAAAGAAATGTCTTTTTCTCATCAGCATCTATTACATCTCCTGTAATTTCCAAAGCAACTCTCCGCTAATGCCAGGTGGGGAAACAGCGATGGGGCAGAAGGACAAGGCGTACTAAACTCCCTGTGTACTTCCATTAAAGCAAAACTCCGGGTAACATGTTTCTTAACCCTTGCAGTGGGGCTACCCCCATGCTACAAAGGTTAAGTGCTCATTTTTGTCTAGGTGCAAAGATAAAAAAAGCTATACTCACACGATCCATGGAACCGGCCTGCTCTTAGGTCGGTCCCTGGAGCCTCTCTCCTCCGTTGCAGCGGTCTAAGGATCCTTGAGTCACCATGTGATGTACACTGTGTATAGCAGTGGTTCTCAACCTTTCTAGGGCCGGGACCCCTTGGTAACATTTGCCAAGTTGTGGTGACCCCCAACGGAGCGCTGGAACAAGAATTAGTAAGGTGCTCTGTCTCCATGCAGCCTTCTCAGCCCCAGCACTGCTTAGACGCCCGCCTCCTGCAGAGCTCACATTGTATGGGAGGCAGGAAGACAGCAGCGGCTGTGGATAGAAAAGGCCTGCTGTGCACACTGCACAGGGAGTGTGTATAGCGACACTTTTATATTCACAGCCTCTGCTGTCCTCCCACTGACACTGCTGCGCTAGGAGGAGGCTGAGGAGCCTCTCACTTAGCACAGCAGAAGTGGATGCTGCGACCCCCTCAACAGTCAGTTGCGACCCGCAGGTTGAGAACCGCTGGTGTATAGGATATGAGGACACCTAATGACATACCATTGCTGCAGCAGACGAGGAGACAGACCGGAGGGAGCGCTGTCACAGCCAGCCGGATGCAAGGTTCGGGTGAATTAAAAATGTTTTTTTCTTTAACCTAGACAAAAATAAGCACTTAACCCTTTCAGTGTGAGAATAGCCCCACTGCAAGAAACATTTTACCCGGATTTGTTCTTTAAGATTACTTTGGCCATGCTTCCACAATTGATTAACCCCAGACCCTTTTCTCCCAAAGCATTTGTTTTTGGGGGGTTTTTCGGCAGTGTCTTGGGTGTTATATCTTTTAGGTTTTGTAGTATACCTCAAAGTATTATACATCATTGTTTTCAGGACACAAAGGACTTTAACTCTGATAGCAATTTCTGAAAAAAAAAAAATATATATATACATACACACACACACATTTGTACTTTTTTAATGGCGGGGGTGGAGTCTGGATCTGGTCAGTGGCAACCTGATCCAGCCCCCACAGGCAGCAGCTGACCACACACTGTGGTGCAGTGCATTGCAGTACAATTCTACCACCGTACACCTGATGCACCAGAATGCATGAAAACAGGTGTAGGTGCGGGTCAGATTTTGAAGTCCGTTATGGCAGACCCTTTCAAATAAATGAGCTGCCTTACTTCAACGTTTTTAGGACCACACAGGAGTGAATGGGCCTCTTGTTTTTTTATTATGTGCACTTCTACTGACGCATTTTTCAAGGTAACTGGTTCTACAGAAATTTTTCAAGGTAACTGGTTCTCTTCAGGTGCAATGCTTACCATTGGTGCACCTCGATGGCCAATGATCCAGGGTTTTGGTCCCAGATCCTTCCGATCCATGATACAGGGGGAGTAGATGGTGAGGGGGACGAGGTACAGTGCAATGACTACAGCCAAATATGCCAGGATGAGACAAATCTGGAAAACTGGGGGGAAAAAAAAATAACATTATTAGAAAACTGTATGCATAATGTTCTGAATTTTTCCATTTATATAAAGATTATTCTAAGGACATACTCCCCTCTTGGTGATAAAAAACATATGTTCTCCAGAGGTGCGATATACCCAGCCAGGATTGGGAAGACATGGAGGTCACAGCAGGAACGTCCTCTGGATTGCTTAGTGGTAGGCTCTGCCGGTTATAATCACCCGAACAGTCCCAGGGATGTAGAGATGCAGCCAGAACATCAAACACATACCGTATTTGCCGGCGTATAAGGCGACTGGGTGTATAAGACGACCCCCTAATTTTCCACCTAAAACATAGGTTTTGGGCTATACTCGTCATATAAGACTTCCGAGGCAACACCATTTAAAAACATCATGGATGGATGTGCGGTAATACTGTATGTACGGTACAGTATGTAGTACTGTATCTACATATAGTATACCGCGCTGAGCCAATCATGGCGAGCGATGTATTCTATTAATGAATACAAAGCCTGCTTGGATTGGCAGAGGTTGTGTACATCGCTCGCCGTGATTGGCTCAGCGCGGTATACTATATGTAGATACAGTACTACATACTGTACCGTACATACAGTATTACCGCACATCCATCGGGCTGACAGATTAGGGATGTTCGTTTTGGGCCAGCTTGGCCCAAACGAACTAAAGGTATACATTGTATACACCGCGTATAAGACGGCCCCCGATTTTCGAGGGATGTTCTTAAGTATAAAAAGTAGTCTTATACGCCAGCAAATACAGTATATATATTTTTACACTTCATGCAGTGACTTGGCATGAGGGTGGGCACCCTGACCGAATAGGAAGACTTTGCCTTTCAGTGCAAGGTCCGTTATAAAGTGTATTTCAACTATTGCAGTCAAATTTGAAGAAAAAAACCTCCAATCGTTTGTGTGTTCCCATTCACACAGCATACCGAAAAATTATTTGTAAAAAAAATTATTTACTTTTTTTTTTTTACGATCAGGGAAGCTGAGCTGGGAGAGTTGGAGCTGTTCAGAACCATGATGACTAAGTGTTAGGGCAAATAAGCAATAATATGTAAATAAAACTTTGCTGGGCAATTTATATTTGTTTGATCTAGACTCATTTAAAAAAAAAAAAGTTTACTACTACTTTGTTATGCTCTGTGAATTAGAAACATGTCCCATATATAAAGCAGGGGCACCCCGAGGCTGGGTGTCAGCCCGGCGTAATGTCATCACGTATGCGCGTGATGTTGCCATGCGGGGTCGTCTTATTGACGTCTGCCGGTGGCCATCTTGGTGATGGACGTTGGCAGAGAGAGGAGGGGACGTTCATGCCTCATCCTACCAGGTCCCCTCCTCTCTCCTGACACTGACGGGCTCCCGGTCCGTGACCGAGTGCCACGACTTTTCATAGGGGGTGACACCAAAATGACCGTCAGTCATTCTGGTGTCAACTTTTGACGCCACTGTATAAAGTAGGTGTTATCGCAATCTGGTTGCAAAAGTGGATATAAACTTTAAGGCGAGTATTAAACTAAAACTAGCGATGGCCATAAAATACTCACCGGCCTTTTCTGACCGTGCAAATTGACCGGCGATGATCCACGCCAGCATAGTAATGCCAACCAGGGCCCCAATGTGCAAAAATGGAGCCGTCGCCTGCAAGAAAGTGATATCAGTTATAACCTGAGATTTGAAGCAAAACGTAAAATACAGAGCTCAAAATGTCTTCATCTTACGTTCAGATTATTCTGTTTCTTATACAAATAATCCTCGATTGATGCAACACCTTGTATCTGATGGCTATTTCTGGATGGCGTGCAGTGGAATCATCTTATCCCATTGGGGAAATTTGGCTTGACAACACAATGGCTTTGTTGACACTGGCTCAGAAGTAGGGAGAATTCTTTTTAATAGGATCACAGGCATCAATAAAATCCTTGATATAGTTGTGGAGATGAAGAGCACTGGCTCACCTTTTGGGACGGAAGTTACTTATTCTTATCCTACTCCTAGACTGTGCTCTGGCATAAAGCAGATGTCTGTGTTTTCCGGGATGAGCATGCTTGGAGTAGTGAGGCCCAGGGCTGTCCCTATAATGAGTGGGATCACAGTGGAGATAACAGTGCTAGCTCTTCTTTTGGGATGTTGTTTATTTGTAACATACACCTAGGCTGTGCTCTGGCAACAAAGGAGCAGTCTGCAGGTTCCTGGATGAGCATGTTTGGAGTGGTGAGGCCCAGGGCTGTCCCTATAATGAGTGGGATCACAGACATCAATAAAAACTTTGGTAGAGTAGTGGAGATGAAGAGGGCTAGATCTCCTTTTGGGAAGGAAGTTATTTATTCTTAACATACACCTAGGCTGTGCTCTGGCATAAAATAGCGGCCTCTGGGTTCCTGGATGAGCATGCTTGGCCATCCCTATAATGAGGCATTTAGAGTTATCCCATCGCACTCCAAACCAACATATCTTAATGTGTAGCTTATGGGGGCTGAAATGGCCAACGGATGGCATTGTAAGACTGGATAAGATAGTGAGGTCACCAGCACGCCAGGATCCACTTGATCGATCCGTCTTTTATTGATGTTTAGATAAACATGGTGTCACAAGCAAATGCAATGTTTCGGAAGCACATGCGGTCCCTTCGTCAGGCAAAACAATGTGAAAGTCACTGCACTATCCGTTATAATGAGGCAGCCTGAGGCTGTTGCTTCAGGCGGCATCTCTTCGGGTTATTGCGGCCAGAGTGTCCCAGGTTGCTCAGAGACGGGCGGGGAGATATGCAAGGACCATACACATCTCACCGACCAGCTCTTAGCACCCTGGACGCTCTGGCTGGTGTACCACCAAGCTCCTAGCAATTATTACCACCAATGGTTGTCAGGAGCTGAATAGGACGCTATGGCCAGTGTCTCACCCAGCTCCTGGCAACCATTACAACCAATTACAATTTCAACGACAGTTATTTTACTGCCCTCATTAAAACAACTGAATTGTGAGGAAGACAGACGGTTGCTTTATTGTGGTTATTGCGCGCTGTATTGCCATTACTGACAAATCCAGGTTTGCAGATTCTCCTTCTAATGTTTACAACACTGCAATCACTGACCAATACTGCTGTGATAAAACCTCAATCGCATATTAAATTGTCCCATGTTGTATCCTTGAAAAAATCCTGCAGAAAAAGTACAGAAAAATACATGATGATCTGCCAGAAATGCCGGCAGCTCCCCAGTCTTGTTGTAAGCTGACATTTTTTTAGAAGGGAGCGGTGTCAGCCCTTCCCAGTTGTCTTTTGCTAAACTTTTCAAAGCCACTCATATCCTATTATGCACAACATCAAGACTTGTATTTCCCAAGGTAAGACCTAGGAGGGCTAATTAGACTCCTCAAGATAATAGTGTGGTAAGGACACAGGACAGCTCTGAATTTCTGGCATTAGCAAACATTCGGTTTGAAATCAGACACAAAGCGCGCATTTTTTTGTATGTTGCGTTTCACTGTAGAGCAGGTATGCTCTGTACATGGGTTGGGATGCCATTGAAAGTGAACGGCCCCATAACACATTGCACTGTGCTTGGTGTCAGGGATGTACCTTGGCCTTTCAACGTCTGAGGTGGTGGTATGGGGGAGTTGTTGCTGGCGGTGCATGCTTGGCAGGGGGGGAACATGGGTGCATGCTAATGGGGGGTCGATGGCCTTTGCATTAACCAGCTCTGTATGGCGTCCCACCAAGCTCACTAACATTACTGGTTTCCAGGAGCTGTACTAAGCATCCTGCTCAGCTCCTGGCAACCAGTGACGTCCCTTGTTGCCAGGAGCTCGGTAGGACACCGGCCAGAGTATCCCAGGATGCTAAGAGCTGGACAGGAGGAGATATGTATGGCCTTTACACATCTCCCCACCCGGCTCTGATCAATCAGGGATGCTCTGGCCAGAAAGGGGGGCAGCAGACACACTAACACTAACACAGCCGCTCTGCCTGCATCCCCCCTATGTGTCAAAAAGAGGTGCCGCTTGAGACAACAGCTTCAGGCTGCCTCATTAAAGGGATGGCCCTGCCTGGTGTAATACTGTGCAGCCGTTGCTGCAACACAAGGGTATCAATGGCCTTCAGAATAACTATTTGTTTTGGGTTTCCTGTTTTTTTTACTGACTTTTTACACACACACAAACACACATATTAAGTACTCACTGTGCACACGAATAAAAGTTCCTTCCCCAGATAAGAATAACCTGTAACAAGTTACCTGGAAGGAAATTATTAGGACGTCCCATTCTTCTTCCCACAATTGTTCTATGGATGCCATGGCTACGACTGTAGCGATCAGAACAGAAGCAAGGCAAGCCTGGAAAACAGAGAAAACCCTATTAAGAAGTCAGTCCACCCAAAACGGTGGATTTTTTAGGACCGTTTCCCAGTCCTGCGTTTTAGGTGCAGAGTGCTTTAGATGAATTTTAGTTTTTTTTGTCAGCATTCAGCACGTGTCAGCATTCATGGAAGGTGTGATTTGCTTGCCCAAACTTTGACATCGATAAAAACCCAAGTCCCTAACCCCTCCCCCACTCCATCCTAAAACAAAATAACACAAAACCATTGTGAAAACCTGATTAACTCTCTCTCTCGATAGTGGAAGTCGAAACGAGGCTACATTGGGCATTCTCTAATGAGCAACTGATAGCAAAACTACCAGATACAATGCCAAAATGTAATCAAATATGGAAGCCGTAGAAAATAATATTTTCCCACCGGCCTTTGGTTGACGCCTTATAGGTGTATGACCTTAAGTAAGCCGAGTGGTTGCTTTCGCTGGTAACTCAGAATCTCAGGGGCGCTCCTTCTCTGTTCTTCCTCTAGCCCCCGTTTTCCCATCTCTACTCCTTCTCTCTCCTTTCACCTTCCTCCTCTATTTCTGAGGAAACCATCTAGGTTCGTACATCTGTCCGGACATCTAAGCGGTGTGGTCAATGTGATACATTATTATCACAAATCCTTGCATGTATGATCATTTGTATGATGTATAGAACTAGTTATGTATTTGATATTTTTGTATGCCGTGTCTTGTATCTCAAAAACTCAAATATTGAACATGAAAAAAAAAAGTTTTTGTCTAGAGTTGTCTAGAATTTAAACTATATTAAAATCATAGCCACTAAAATGCTTTACATTTGTAGTGAAAATGTTTGCCTTAAGCAGGAAACAACATGCATCTATCACAAGCAAAATATTCATTGTACATTCAAACTATATAAACCATATGGCCAAATGAGTGTGGTCACCTGACCTACACAGCTATACAACAAGCTTGTTGAACATTCCATTCCAAAACCACAGCCATTAATATGGCGTTCCCCCCAACCTTGTGGCTCTAACGGTCTCCACCATTCTAGAAAGACTTTCCACAAGATGTTGGAGTGTATCTGTGGGTATTTGTGCCCAGGGAGCCAGAAAAGCATTTGTGAGGTCAGATACTGACTGATGTTGGATGAGTGGATCTGGATCACAATTGGCATTCTGATTCATTCCAAAGGTGCTCAGTAGAGTTGAGGTCAGGGCTCTGTACAGGCCACTTAAGTTCCTCCACACCAAACTTATCAAACTACGTCTTTATGAAGCTGGCTTTGTACACAGGGTACAGTCATGGTGGAAGAGAAATGGGCACAAGGTTGGAAGTGCACAATTGTCTAAAATGTCTTTGTATGCTGCAGCAATAATCGTACCCTCCACTGGAAACACCTGAACTCAGTAATTTGGAGGTTTTGTCCATAAACCTTTGGCCATATAGTGTATCATTAGAAATATTAGTTTCCCCCAGGCCTTTGTAGTCACCTTGTGAAGCCAGTGTATGTTCATTTGCTGTCCTACAGCAATGTGGCATAGTGCTAGTATCTGGAAAAAGAGAAACACAATTAAGAGCGAGCAAATCAAACGGCAACATGAAATCTGCTATAAACTCATCACACGAAATCCGCGTACACATAATGTTCCTCCTGTTACTGAGATAATGAATTGGAGGATTATTAAAGAAGCAATCCTGTGAAGTACACACTGGACAAATGATGAATAAGCATATACAGTAGGGATGCACCTATACCGTTTTTTCAGTATCGAGTACAAGTATGAATATTTTGCTTTCGGTACTCGCCGATACCGGCTGTTCAGCCGGCTCCATGCTGATTGGCTGGCAATCTGGATCCCGGGGAGACCAGCCTAATCATGAGCTCAGATCATTCAGAAAATAAGGATATTAGCAAAAAGCCATTTAAACAGATGGGAAGCTATCAGCAATGGAAGAATATCGGGGAACATTACAGCCAATCAAGGTAGGTGTTCCCTACAAGCAAATCCTTGCATTTTCATAATCTTATATTAAGGAGCCCCACATCCCCAGGTTAAAGAAACACTAGGTTAAAGAAATTAGAAGAAAAAGTAGTAAGAAGGTCAAAATATTTTCCCCCTTATACCCCAGTTTCCGGCACCCTCTCTTGGATGAGGGTGACATCACTGGCCCCCGTGGTCCTGGGTAAGTCAAGGGTCCAAAACTCTGAAAAAATTAGCTTCTGTAGAATACAGAACTGTAATCTTATGGGATTTGTGGTACTCAGCTATCCCATGACCTTGAAAAATGGCCCAGTGACATTTCCACAACTACAGGAAGCAGACAAATTCTATGATCCAATGCCTCCCTTTTAAATGTAACATTTCACTTGACTCAATGTGTTGATTGATTTATCTACAAAGTTCTAATAGCTCTTCTACCAACCAGAACCCAGCATTCGGGGCTTGCAGCCAGGTACCGGAGGACATTTTCTTTTTTTTTTTTTGAAACATTGACCTTTAAATAATCTTCTCCGGGCCCGAGACCTGAACTACCGGAGCATTAAGCTGATGCAATATCTCTATATGATCCCTCCATTATCCCATGAATATTTAAAGGCTTGTTGATGGATCACAGCAATAGAAAATGCGTTTAGCGAATGTTTAATCCCAGCCCACCACTAAAGCTCTACGAGCAAATAAAACAGCATAATTACAGCGGTACATTGTTAAACGTTGGACGCATACAAACCACCCAACATTAAGGGGGCACGAAGGTGACCGATGCAAATGAGAACAAAATGTAATTAAGAATAAAACTGGCAATTACGAAGAGAGCTGCTCCGTTATTTACATTTACAGCGGCCTTTCCTTTTCACACTTTACTTTATGAACAGTACTGCATTGGGTTTCTTGAAGATCTTAAAGCAGTCTCAAAGTACCGGCCCGCTATCACAAGTTACTTTTGGCGTGCAGGCAGGGCTGCCGATAGAGGGGTAGAGCCGGCCCGCCTATACGGGGCCC